AAGTGCTTTCGAGTAGTCACCCATGTTGTTATACACTAGACCGATGTTGTTGTAAGAAGTAGCCAAATTAGGATGATTCTGAGGAAGAGCTTTTTCTCTTATTTGACATGATTTTTCGTAAAGTTCAAGTGCTTTCGAGTAGTCACCCATGTCGTTATACACTGCACCGATGTTGTTGTAGGAGGTAGCCAAATTGGGATGATTCCGAGGCAGAGCTTTTTCCTTTATTTTATGTGCTGTTTCGCAAAATTCAAGTGCTTTTGAGTAGTCACCCATGTTGTTATAGACTTGACCGATGTTGTTATAGGAAATAGCCAAATTGGGGTGATGCGGAGGTAGAGCTTTTTCATAGATTTGATGTGAGTTTTCGTAAAATTCAAGTGCTTTCGTGTAGTTACCCATGGCGTTATACACGAGACCGATGTTGTTGTAGGAGAGAGCCAAATCGGGATGGTTCTGCGGCAGAGCCTTTTCGTTTATTTGATATGATTTTTCGTAGAATTCTAGTGCTTTTGAGTAGTCACCCATGTCGTTATACACTGCACCGATATTGTTATAGGATTGAGCGAAATCGGGATGATTCGAAGGGAGAGCTTTTTCTCTTATTTGATGTGATTTTTCGTAAAATTCAAGTGCTTTCGAGTATTCACCCATGGTGTTATACACTCCACCGATGTTGTTGTGAGAAGTAGCCAAATCGGGATGATTCGGTGGCAGAGCTTTTTCTATTATTTTATGTGATTTTTCGTAAAATTCAAGTGCTTTCGAGTATTCACCCATGTTGTCATGTACACTACCAATGTTATTGTAGGATTGAGCCAAATTGGGATGACTCGGAGGGAGAGCTTTTTCTCTTACCTGATATGATTTTTCGTAAAAGTCAAATGCTTTCGAGTAATCACCCATGTCGTTATACACTCCACCGATGTTGTTATAGGACAGAGCCAAATTGGAATGATTTGGAGGCAGAGCTTTGTCGTAGATCTGATGTGATTTTTCGTAAAATTCAAGTGCCTTCGAGTAGTCACCCATTTTGTTATAGAGAAAGCCGATGTTGTTGTAAGAGGTAGCCAAAGCAGGATGGTTCTGCGGCAGGGCCTTTTCTATTATTTGATGTGATTGTTTGAAAAATTCAAGTGCTTTCGAGTATTCACCCATGTTATTATGCACTATACCGATGTTGTTGTAGGAACTAGCGAAATCGGAATGATTCGGGGGCAAAGCTTTTTGTCTTATTTTAAGTGCTTTGTCGTGAAATTCAAGTACTTTCAAGTAGTCGCCGATGGTGTTATACACTTGACCGATGTTGTTGTAAGAAATTGCCAAATCGGGATGATTTGGAGGCAGAGCTTTTTCTCTTATTTTAAGTGATTTTTCGTAAAATTCGAGTGCTTTCGAATATTCACTTATGCAATAATACACTCCACCGATGCTGTTGTAGGAAGTAGCCAAATCGGGATGATTGGGTGGGAGTGATTTTTGTCTTATTTGATATGATTTTTCGTAAAATTCAAGCGCTTTCGAGTAGGCACCCGTGTCGTTATACACTGCACCGATGTTGTTGTAGGATTTAGCCAATTCAGGATCATCTTCTGTGAGTGTTGTATGCTTGATTTCGAGAGACTTTTCATATAATGAAGCCGCTTCTTGGTACTCTGCTTTTACGTGTTTCGATAGGGCAAGTTGATGATAGATATATGCTCTCTCACTGTCATTCGACGAGTTCTTCAGCAATCCGTTGTAGAGTTCTTCGGCTTTATTGAAGTGTCCCACTGTAAACATAAGATCACCCAGTCGCTGCCATCCTGTGAATCCATAGAGCTCGCTGCGTATGCTGCGCGTGAGAGCAGCCAACTGTTGGTCATTTTCATCTGTGAGAATCAATTGTACTTCCCAGAGGCGACTATTGGTGGTCATCTGTTTAATTTCAGCGATACGAAAAACAGTGTGCATTGAGAAGAGTATTTCTTGTTCTTCGTTGAAGTAACTCACTTGTTGGATGGAGGCGAAGGGTATTGATCTGATGGTGGGATCAATAAACATTTGAAAGAGAATGCCCACCATATCGCTTGCTGTTGAGGCACTTTCAGCGAAGGCAAGGGAAACCTGTCGATTTTCACTAGTGGATAGAAAATTGTTAAAGGATATCAAACCACTTTTTGTTGTCTGGAATTTTTGAAAGTCAGCGATGGATAGCCGCTGCCCTCGGTAAACAATAATGGGCTCTCTCTCAGAACCTCTTGTCTGTTGTTTGTGTAATTCTTCTATTTGACAATGTAGATCACGAATAAAGAAGCCCATTTTCATAATCGTTTCAGATTCCAATGTTCGAAGAGACCAGTTGATCATCCGATAGAGGAAATATTCCCGAGTGTACCACCAAATTGATGATTGCGGATGATAATCACGTTCGAATTCATCGATAGGGTCCAATGTAGCGGTATTGTTGGTGTATTCGTTGCGCCAGAATAGAATAAAATCCTTAACTGCTTGTTCAGTATAGTCGATTTCAAGGAGAATTTCTTTGAACAGTTGAGTATACATAAACGAAGGTTCAAGTTCGTTCAGATTTTGGCTGAAGCCCTCTTGATGTACATTGAGAAAGCTTATCGAGATGTCATCTTGATTACATTGTTTGATGGCCACTTTTAGTGCTTTACAGATAGGTGTAATTTCCGTATATATGCCCTTAATTTTGTTCCAATCCTTGTTGCAATCTTCGTATCGAGCGTTGTTTCCAGAAAAGACATAAATGCTATCAACATGAGGAATATCATGGATGAAGGACATCATTTGTTGTCGCATGTCATCCGCTACAATGAGAAATACCTTTCTATCATCGACTTTGGTGAGAAAGTCAATACATTGATCGATCTCCGCGAAGGTATGAACTTCGTTGACTATGCTTTGAAGTTGTGCCAAAATGCTTTGATAATCTTTATTACCTTGGTCAATATTGGCATCTAACCATATCAGAAAGAAATCTTGAAAAATGCGGCGTTCTGGACGAATGCTAGCCGACTGTGCTGATGTTGTTGTCGATGGGATCTTTGAAGATGTAGACATAGGCTTGTTTGGTTTTTGTACATCCATATTATTCTGAATAATAAGTTGATCGTCAATTGAAAATTATAAATAATTTTTTTGTCACTAACACATACACTACTTCGTCTCTGAATATATATCTATTTAGTGTCTTTTTCTCTCTATTTTTCTACTACGCAAAATGTTTTATGTTTTTCGTTCACACCTAAGAACGAACCCTACTTGTTTTTATTGAAAATATTAAGGTAAAAAATACAAGAGAAACAGAGAGAAAAAGAATAAAAATATTTATTCGTTGGAGACATCGGAACGAACAGAAAAAATCAATCGCATCATTTTTCGTTTTGCTATTTTTACAAAATTTCTCTTGCTTTTCTCTGCGCACAATAATTTTAGTAATAATGCGTGGGATATAGTTTCTCCGTCAGTGATTTTGGTAAGAAAAGCATCATTCATTAGTCATTTTTTCATTGACTCTTTCATGACTTTCTTCTTTCTGTGCCTTGCATGAGACTGCTCTGAAAGCATTCAAGCTTAACATGACAAGAACGAAAAAAATCATCGTTACTTCTATTTTTTTTGCATTATATAGTAAAACATTTAATGTCTGCTACACTTCACTAACCTTCTTTTTCTTTCCTCTAAATGACTCATCCCTTACTAGTATTAATCTTGACTATATGTTTCTTTTTCTTTTCTCTTGTGTCAGCATTATATAATGTTGTGTTTAAGGTAACTCAATGAGGACAAGGTAGTCAACAATATCAGAGTCTGAAGGTGAAAAGATGGCAATCTTCCGTTCATATTACACTAAGTGTCTGTCAGAGCGAATAGCTTCTGACAATCAATCTTGTTATCTAACTAGAAGCAATTTAGACGCCAGGGTGTGGATGTGGGTGTCGGTGTATAGGTCTTCTCTTCATTCACACACACCCACCCACACCCCACCCTTTTTTCTGATGAGACCAAGAAGCTCTATGCAGCTTCGATAGTAATGAATATTTTTGCCAGCTGGTGAGATTGACAAATACAATCAAATATTGATGACAGACCGATTCATCATGTGTAGACTTATAACATTGGGAAAAAGTATAAGGTCAACAGTCTTGCGCAAAGAA